GTACAATGATCTATTTGAACTGCTAGGAAAAATTTAATTTATTTGGGAAAGATATTAGAATGATCTAGAATATGTACTGTCTGCATATAGATAGAAAAATGAATAGAATAAATACACAAAAATAGAAAGAGGTGTAAGACAAGGATGTATCTTCTCACCAGATTCATTCATCCTTTACAGTGAAGCGATCCTGAGAGAATTAGAAAATTTATTATGAGTATAATCTTAATAACATAAGACGTACAGATGACACTGCGTTAACAGCAAATGTTGAAAGAAAACTACATGAAATCCTAGACAAGGCAGTAAAGGGAAATGGGGAGAATGGACAAATTATAAATTGTAAATAGGTAGCAAAAGGGACAGCCCAGAATATTAACTACAAATTGGGAATGTCAAAATGAGGCAAGTACAGAATTTTAACTGTCTGGGAAGTGTTTTAATAGTTGTTGGAAAATGTGTCACTGAAATCTAAATACGGATTGGAGTAGTGAAAGATGACTTACAAAAGCTGAAAAAAGTATTAAGAAATAAGAAAATATATTAGAAAAAATGTTATATAATACTAGAATCATGTTTTTTACTCATTTGCAAACCAAACCTATGTTTATCTTTTTGAGTCGACTGGACTTCTGTTTATCTTCTTTACATTTATCTTCTTTACTTTAGTGTAAAGCGAACATTTCACTACTTTTTTGATTCTAGTGCAAAGCAGACATTGGTCTTCCATTTTGACTCTAGTGTAAAATGGACCACAACTATTTTAACTCTAGTGCCAAGTGGAACTATATCTACCTTTTTGACTCCAGTATAAAGCAGACCTGTCACTACCTTTTTTATTTTAGTGCAAAGCAGACATTGCTCTTCATTTTTGACTCAAAGTTGTGTTTTTCCAATTTTTGGCGCTGTCAGAACCACCGCAAGGTAATTTTAAGTAGTCCTGTGAAGTTTTGTTGAAATCGGTTGAAAAATGTAGGAAATCCGATCCAATATATAAATGAACAGACACGGACACACACAGACACACACAGACACACAGACACACACACACACACACACACACACACACACACACACAATCTGCGTTTTATAATAAGTATGATTAATCTTCCTATAATGTAGTGAATACTGGAAAATTTCTTTATAGATGATGAAGAGACTTCTGGTTATAAGACACATCCTTGTCTTACATCCTTTTGAGGCAACAGAGATACTTTTTCAGAGAAGAATGCTGAGAATACTATGGATGAAGCATATGAGCAATAAGGAAGTTTTAAGGAAAAGAAGAACAAAAATTACACTTAGGATTAGAAAGAGGCAACTTAAAACTTTGGAATATAGTATGAAGAAAAAGGGGTTTGGAAAATTTGACACTCACAGGATATATTGGAACTAAAAGGGACAAAGTGAAACATCAAGTAACAAAAATAAAAGGGTTATGTTAATAAATATTAGAACACTGACTGGAAAGAAGAGTAAAAAGAATCAAACAAACAAATACTGCTAAGAACTACAAAGAATAGGAAGTTGTGGAGAGCCATGATCAACCTACCTAACAAGCTTGTGTAAATGGATGGCAGAACAGGGACTGGGAGTGATAGTAAAAAGATAAATATTGCTAAGAGCTACAAAAAATAGGAAGTTGTGGAGAGCCATGAACAACCTACCTAACAAGCTTGTGTAAATGGATGGCAGAACAGTGACTTGGAAGGATAGGGAAAAGACAAATATTGCTAAGAGCTACAAAGGATAGGAAGTTGTGGAGAGCCATGATCAACCTATTAAGAAGTTTGAGTAAAAGGATGGTAAACAATGTGATTGGGAGAGATAACTTACTAACTGCAAATGTTTATTAGTGTGTGTATTTTTAGGTTACAATTGGGTATGAGAAATTTAATCCATAGTATAACAGAGAGAAGTCGGACATATGTTATTAAAGTTTCATGGTGAAGAGATTGAATTTAACATCTTTGTTGGGATGTCCGTATTTCCAGTAGGAACAGTTTTTGTTGCATGCTGGGGGAGTTTTTATTATTTTTAATTTTTATTTAATTTATTTTATACAATGTTCTTATGTTATTGTTTTATATTATTTATTATTGTCATTGTTATTATTATTTTGTTTATTATTTTCATTTATTTATAATAATAATAAGAAGAAGAATAATAATATTCCTACACAGTAAAGTGCTAAAGAGCAAAATAGATATAAATATAAAACATATGAAGTGTGTAATAACTATTTCATATTTAATGCAAAACAAAAGGCTCATAAAATATTCCAAAATAGAAAAGCTGTCCTTCCTGAAAAATCATATATATGTTTGTATGTGTATATATATATATATATATATATATATATATATATATATATATATATATATATATATATATATATTATGTATATATATATATATATATATATATATATATATATATATATATATATATATATGTATAATATATATATATATGATATAATTATATATATGATATATAAATATATATATATATATATATATATATATATATATATATATATATGATATAATGTATATATATATATATATATATATATATATATATATATATATATATATATATATATATATATATATATATATATATATATATATATATATGATATAATAATATCGAAGTATATGATTGGTGTATACGGAATGAATTCCAATAACCAACAATTACTATTCTTAAAAGATAGTAGAGCAGATATAATTATTTATTTAAAAATTATAACATAAATATGTTATAAAATCACTACAAAAATAGCCATTTTGTTTCAACCCCTCAAAACAAAAATGAAACAAAATGGCTATTTTTGTAGTGATTTTATAGCATATTTATGTCATAATTTTTAAATAAATAATTATATGATATAATATATACATATATATATATATAAATATATATATATATATATATATAATATTATATATGTATATAAATATATGATATAATATTATGTATATATAAATATATATATATATATATAAAATATGATATAATATATATACATTTATATATATATATAATATTATATATATGTATATATATATATAAATATATATATGATATAATATTATATATATATATATATATATATATAATTTACGTATATATAACTGTCTTCAGTTAAAAGTGGAGATTTCCACATATTATTAAAAATAATTCATTTTTTTCCTTATGTTCAATGTTAAATATTCTCGATATGAGACATTCTCTGTTTTTATATATATATATATATATATATATATATATATATATATATATATATATATAATAATATATATATATATTAAAATTAGATTCAAAATCTTTCAATACCCTTACTATTTCTTATTCAATGTGAAACAAAAGGCTCATAAAATATTCCAAAATGGAAGAGTTGTCCTTCTGACAAACCCAACAAATCAAAAAAAACATATTATTCTACCCACAAACTCTATCACAACTACAACCGTAAAGAATATATCTAAACTCAATATAAAATTTTTCACAACTACATCTGGAATAATCAAAGACTTAATCAATAAAAACAAAACAAAAAGCCAAAACTTGAAAGAGGAATTTACATTATCAACTGAAGGAATTGCCAGGAATAATATATTGCAGAAACCTCTAGAAAAGAACATAGATAAATTTGACTAGACAGAAAAAAAAAATTCTTTTAAAAATATTCTTTTAAAAATTTTGAAACTACCAGCATCTCTTTATGTGCATGTGTAGATGTGACAATGAAATCCTAATGGATGAAATGCATCATAAAAACATTCTTCTAGTTTTTCAAACCGCTGTTTCAAAATACTGTTTTTTTCAAAAAAAGTATACACCATTATATATATATATATATATATATATATATATATATATATATATATATACTTATGTATAAAAGTAGACACTGTGGTCAACACCAAGAGGTTACAGTCTGTTTCATGCTTGAATGTAATTTTCAGGACTGATTTTTGGCACTTGGTATTGACCTGAATGTCCACTTTTGCATTTACATACAGCCTATCTTTGATATTGAGACTATAAATGTAGTATACCTAAAACTATTTTTATCATATACATATATATATATATATATATATATAACTTTTTAAATAGTAAACTGTATATAAGCAAGAATACCTAATGCATACTCAGATAATTTGGGAGCAACAAGCCTGATTTTTTTCAAATAGAAGCGAAATGTAAAAGAAATCTGAACTATTATATTTGTTGAGAATTTATTTCAAAGAACCAGTCAAGTGATAAATGAACTCAATTTTACATTAAAATTATTCTAATGTACTTATATAATATTTATTCAAACAATCAATGCATGCTTATCAAAACTTTGTAACAAATATATGCATCTGAATTCATCCATGGTTGCTTACAAAAGACAATTTTAAATAATTCTGCAATAAATTAGTTATTTAGTAATTCCTTTAAGGAGGAGATTAAAGAGAATATTTAAATAAATAGATAAATAGATAGATATGAACAGATATAGATAGATAGATAGATAGATAGATAGATAGATAGATAGATAGATAGATAGCAGACTGAGATAGATATGAACAGACTGAAATAGATAGATAGATAGATAGATAGATAGATAGATAGATAGATAGATAGATATAAATTGACTGAAATAGATAGATATGAACAGACTCAGACAAATAGATAGATAGTAGATATAGGTATGAACAGACTGAAACAGATATCAACAGACTGGCACCAATTTTGAGGGTTACAGCACGGGGCACAGTTTATGAGGATATATGGGTAGTATTCAGGGAAGTGTTCCCTTTGGAGTTGTTTCTACAACAGTGGTTCATAGGAAGATAAATAGTTATGAATAGTCTGAGATAGATAGATAGATAGATAGATAGATAGATAGATAGATAGATATGAATAGTCTGAGATAGATAGATATGAATAGTTTGAGATAGATAGATATGAATAGTTTGAGATAGATAGCTAGATAGCTAGATCGATAGATAGATAGCTAGATAGCTAGATAGATAGATAGATAGATAGATAGATAGATAGATAGATAGATATGAATATTTTGAGATAGATAGATAGATATGAACAATGCTGGATAGATAGATATCAACAGACTGGCACCTATTTTGTTTGCAATCATCTCCATCCTGTCCCCAGCTTATGAGTCACTTGAATAGAGGATTACAGCATGAGTCATTGTTTTTGAGGATATATGGATAGTAATCAGGGAAGTGGCCCCTTTGGAATCATTTCTACAGAGCTGTGGTTTGTTGGAAGATGGATAGATACATATGAACAGACTGAGATAGATAGATAGATAGATAGATAGATAGATAGATAGATAGATAGATAGATAGATATCAACAGACTGGCACCAATTTTGAGGGTTACAGCACGGGGCACAGTTTATGAGGATATATGGGTAGTAATCAGGGAAGTGTTCACTTTGGAGTTGTTTCTACAACAGCGGTTCATAGGAAGATAAATAGTTATGAATAGTCTGAGATAGATAGATAGATAGATAGATAGATAGATAGATAGATAGATAGATATGAATAGTCTGAGATAGATATGAATAGTTTGAGATAGATGAATGATAGATGATAGATAGATAGATAGATAGATAGATAGATAGATAGATAGATATGAATAGTCTGAGATAGATAGATATATAGATAGATAGATATGAATAGTCTGAGATAGATATGAATAGTTTGAGATAGATAGATAGATAGATAGATAGATAGATACTAAAAAGCCAAGGATAGATAGATAGATAGATAGATAGATAGATAGATAGATAGATATGAATAGTTTGAGATAGATAGATAGATAGATAGATAGATAGATAGATAGATAGATAATTATGAACAGACTCAGATAGATATCAATAGACTGGCACCTATTTTGTTTACAATAATCTTCATCCTGTCCCTGGCTCATGAGTCACTCAAATAGTGGGTTACAACTTGAGGCACAGTTTATGAGGATATGTGGGTAGTAATCAGGGAGTCATTTCTACAAAGTGGTGGTTTGTAGGAAGACAGATATATATATATATATATATATATATATATATATATATATATATATATGCAGATATGTAGAAAAATAGGAAAGAACATGTTAGGTAAATAATCCAGAGTTCTTTAGTATTTTTGTTTTTATTTTTTAAAATACAGAAGTAGAGCTTAAATTATAATATATATAATTATTTTTAAAAAAATATGATTCCTTTGATACATAAGAGTTCTCATGTTTCAAAAATGAGAGCCGAAAACCTCAATATAATTATTAAAATTAAATTTATTAATATTAAATTGAGTTAAAGTATCAAGCCCTGATTCATCCTCACGCGAAAATTACTTTAACTCAATTTAATTTTAATAATTATATTGAGATTTTCGGCTCTCGTTTTTGAAACATGAGAACTATTATGTAGCGAAGGAAACATATTTTTTTTAAATAATTATATATATATATATATATATATATATATATATATATATATATGTATGAACAGACTGAAATAGATAGACTCAGAGAGAGTGAGAGAGGGAGACCAACAGACTGAGATTTTTTTACTATATTATTTACTCTGAAATACACAGGAGACATTTGAGGTAGAAGTCTACAGTTTAAGAGACACAGATTATCCACATATGTATGGAAGTTAATAGTTAAGCCTAGACTTGAACAGGTTGATTGTAGGGATCAGTGAATCATCCTGTAGGGAGTCAGCTATTTGTGAGAAAGAAGCTGCTCAAAGGGAACTTACATCTTGCTAAAAGAATACAAAGGGAATGGATCTTAAGAAGATTAGAACTAAAAGGACTAACGAATGTAGTTCTTCTGAGCACAACTGGAAGTAGTAATAGAACAGCCAGAGGCTTGCAATGTTTCATCTGTGGGAAAGAGGTTGTAGGGTAAAATAATTCATCACCCACAAGGATCCAAAAATGCTTTTGAACTCTGTTAAGGTGTATCTCCTGCCCATATATAGCAGCAGTAATCCATTTTCAGCCTGATGTGTACCTTGCAAAGGTAGAGTATAGCAATTTGAAAGGACATTAGGATAGTGAAAGATGCCTTCCAAAAGCTAAGCAAAATGAGTATTGAACTGTTATGTATTATCGGTCCTCCTATATGATAGTGAATGCTGAACAATTTTCTAACAAATAAAGAAGAGACAGGAAGCAACAGAAATATTCTACAGAAGGATGCTGAGAATACCATGGACCAGACATGTGAACAAAGACAAAGTTCTAGAGACAATGAAAACAAAAAGACCACTTGTAATTTACATAATTTTTATAATTGAGTTTAACTTCTGGTTCCACAAAAAACAGAGGACTTTTGTTGGTATTTCACCCATTTAAGTTTCTTTGAATAGATAAGTAATTACTTTTCTTTTGCAGCTTTCCAGGGAATAACTATTTCAACAGTTCAAATTTGTATTAATTTTTATTTGATCACCTGAATTTACATCCCTAACTGATTATGAGACTATACTGTGTAGACAATTTAGAATTAGCAGTTTGATTTTTCGGGTTTCTGAGCTCATAATATATATGTATATATATATATATATTTTAAGACATATTTATGTTTATACATTCTTTTTATAGATACAAATATTTAAGTAAATGCTCTGTTTATAATAAACAGTATTAACAACATTTACTAGACTGAATGTCCAAGAAATTTTCATAGAAAATATATGTCCTCCAACAGGAATCGAACCTGTATCCTATATGGAACTGTCATATAGCCTGATGTGCCTAACTGACTGAACCACAGAGGGTCGTTCGGTTAGAAAGGTCGATCTTACTGCTTTTAAACTACAAGGCTCAAACCCTCGGTCATGATGAGTTGTGATTTTGTGCTAACACAACATCAATGACTCCCAAGGAGTTCATCTACCCAATTTTACTCATAAGGCTTGGGTCAACCCATGGTATATTTAAGCATTTTCCAAAGGTGTCCGATGTTGGGATCGTCTCCTTAGACTGATAACATCAAAAAGTCACCTTCTTAACAAATCGAAAATGGTAAAATTTAAACCTGGTTCTCTTGGTCAAGCTAACATGTGTCTATATATATATATATATATATATATATATATATATATATATATATTATAAAATGGAGCAAGGTTTGACCTGACAATTATTTTTAAAATTTTTTTACATTTTATGTTGTTAATACTGTTTATTATAAACAGAGCATTTACTTAAATATTTGTATCTATAAAAAGAATGTATAAAACATAAAATGTCTTGTAAAATAATTGTTGGACTTTTTTTCCATTTCATAATATATATATATATATATATATATATATATATATAGATCACGTTAATATCTGACCAAGAGATCCAGGTTTAAATCTTACCATGGTCGATTTGTTAAGAAGGTGACTTTTTGATGTTATCAGTCTAAGGAGACGATCCCAGCATGGGACACCTTTGGAAAGTGCCTAAATATATACAGGTTGACCCAAGACTTATGAGTAAAATTGGGTAGATGAACTCCTTGGGAGTCATTGATGTTGAGTTAGCACAAAATCACAACTCATCATGACTGAGGGTTTGAGAATGCTGGTCATATTCAGATTGTGGATCGCACTTGATAACTTGCTTCTCTCCCAGAGACTGTAACTAAGGTTTGCTCAGTATAATGCTGTATAAACTATAGGTGGGATCTGTGGGTATTGAAGAAACATAAACTGTACCTGAGTAGGTGTCTGCAATAGGGAATACAAGTGGCCAGCCATTAACATAAATTAAATATACATAATGGCTGCCACCTTGTTATTAAGTATGACCATTGCAAAATATCATTCAAGCATACATTTAATAAATATTGACCAACTACTTGTTTTTGACCACACCTATCTACTAGGGTGGCTAGCCAATCCCTTAGTTCAACATTCACAAGACCCACCTGTGGATCATACTGCACCTATACTGAATAAAGGCTTATGGCTACATCATGTTGAAACACCAGTTTCTGTACGATCACTGAAATTAACCAACTGGTCAGTACCTAGATAGGTGAACACCAGGTGCTTGGTTGTGTGGGTTGTCTAACGGATAATGGCTCAGAATTGTTAATCAGAGAGCCAAGTTCCAATTCCAGTTGGGTTCATTAAATTCATTTATGTGCAAATGCTTTTGGGAAAGTTATGAATACACCACTCCCCCCAGCTATGGGTTAATTAGCAAGACTTGTATCACTAAAACCATTGCTATTTTTAAAACAATTGTGTACAAAATATGTAGATTTTGGTATTAAATACTCTATAAAGGGAGGCTGATAAACCACTAAACATAAACAACCAACCAACCAACATGTGATGAGCACACCTTAGTTTCTGAGAAAGAGTCATGATTATTTATTTGTATGACAGGTAATGTGATAAAAAGAGAAAAAAAAAAAAAAAAAAAACTATGCTAACCTGATAATATTTTTACTGTTTGTGTTATTTGATTTAAAATCATTATAACGACCACTATTACTAGTTTCATATGGTTGGTTACTTAGTATTACTAGTGGCTTTAGTGAAATGCTAAATGCTATTTTTGCTACTGCTACAATAATTACTGTTACAATTGCTACTGCTAAGAATACTACTACTACTATTTATTCTTTATACTCCCCCCAACCCTTTCCACCTGAACGCTACTAAGCAATGACTGTAAATACTGAAGTTAAAACCTGAATTATTTGGCAGTTCTTAAAATCATTCGGTTCAGATAATTCAGCCTAGCTAGTCACATACGATTGAGAAAAAAAAAAAAAAAAAAAAAAAAGACTCGTTTCTTTTTGTTTGCTTCCGTTTTTACAAAACCAAAAATATCGTCTGTAAGATTTAGAAAAAAAAATCCCAAAAGAAAAGCAAACCAACTTGAATTTAATTTTTAAAAATATTTTAAAAGGACACCCGTACCTGTCTGAGTATATTTTTATGAAGTCGTGCCTCCTTAATGAGAAGTAACTCACAGGCTAAAAAGAAAGAAAGAAAGAAAGAAAAACGCCCTAAACCACTTGCGTACACACAATTCGTGTAACTAACACTAAAATACATACACATAGTTCTACAGACTTCCCCACGCACTTGCAGGCGCACTATATACTTAGTGACAAACAGCTTTGTTTTGTGCGACTGTATTTGCAATGGGAAAGAATATTTCTTTAATTCCCTCAAGAAAAAGTGTTGCGTAAACTAAAATATCTGAAGTTGTTTGATACAAAGCACCACAATATAATTTATTACTTCAAGAGATAAAATTTTAAAAATTAATTTAGAAAAATATATGTTTTTTATCCTATAACACAACTGCCCGATTATCATCATGGAAAAATTTTCAGAAAGCACTAAAATCAACAGGAGATCTATTATCGGAGAGAAATGGGGCCCTCAAAAAGACAACAAAATGGACAAAGAAGGTAATTTTATTATTTTTATTTTTCTTCAGAGTTTGAGAAATGTTTCATCTGAAATTGACTGGAACAAAAAATGTCCAGTTTACAAGATCACACCAGCAGAAAGTCTTTTTTTTTTTTTAATCTGTTTAACAATTACTTTGTGCAAAATCTTAGGTCAGTTATCAGCTGTTAGATTAGAACTTTGTGTGTACTTATTAGCGTACTTTTTCTTTGCTCTTTATTTTCGTTAGTGTTCTTTTCGTTAATTAATGATCCAACGATTGTCTCCTGATGAGATGTTGGTTGAAAGGACCTTAGAGACTAATAAAATTAAAATCAATCCTAGTTTTTAAAACTGTGTGTGTGTATGTGTATATAATATATATATATATATATATATATATATATATATATACCCTTTGTTTTGTTTTTGGTATTTATTTTTTTACGAATCTTGTGCGGGTGATACAATATTTTAATTTTGGTTATTTACTAATAATGTAAAAAAAAAT